AACTGTTGTAATCTCTCTTCTTGTTTCTTTTCTTTTTCCTCCAACAACTGTTGTAATCTCTCTTCTTGTTTCTTTTCTTTTTCCTCCAACAACTGTTGTAATCTCTCTTCTTGTTTCTTTTGCTGCACTTGTATTGCTGCCATCAAATCTGCTAAGCTGTAGTTTGATTTGCCACTTCTTGTTTCCAATTTTTTTGTTCTTTTCCGTCCCACTCTCTGACACCAATTTGTTACTTCTCTGGTCGTTAGTTAATTTTCCGTAAAAAATATTTCCGAAGAAACTTTAGCGATACTAGTCCTTTCTTAAATAAAACTGGTTTATTCTTTCTGAATACAACTTTGCAATACACTTAATTTCCACAGTCGCGCTATAACAAACGCTATAATTCACAACGAACGTCTCACGTGCTCGACTCAACTGTCCACATCTATCTCTGTCTGCAGTTCAATTACACATTACATTGTTGCTGTCAGTTCTTGGCGGTCTTATATATACTAGACACATATCTAGTAAACGCTAGAGCATTCATGAAGGGACAGGATATTTCTAGAAGGACGTGGCGTGATACTAGTCATGTGACCTCGCTGACGCAACAACGTCATATTCTCGAAGGTTCATGAAGCCTCGAGCGTTTACTAGATTTTCGGTATTCTTGTATATATATAAGCCGCCAAGAAATGACGGCAACAATGTATTTGAATTGATCAGACAGAGATAGATACCAACAGTTGGGTCGAGCGCGTGAGTCGTTCGTTGTGAATTATAGCGTTTGTTATAGCGTGTCTGCGGATATTAAGTTTATTGCAAAGTTGTATTCAGAAAGAATAAACCAGTTTTATTTAAGAAAGGACTTGTATCGCTAAAGTTTCTTCGGAAAGAATTTTTACGGAAAATTAACTAACGGCCAGAGACGTAATATTATCATAAACAATTTACTAGATATGCGCAGAGAGTTTACTTTTTATAAATTTAAAAAAGAAAGAAGTAAACGTAGTAGATTGTAAATAGAAAGAGGTGGTTACTATTGGTACTAGTTGTTAAGCTTTCATGATGATCTGATATATATATTTCCAACCAAATACGTTTGCTGAGATATACATGTCAGTGGCTTTATACGTTAATACTTTCTTACTGCGCTTTATAAAAAAAATCAGAATTTAAGAATAAAAACGTTATAAGCTTTTTTAGCTATAATTATAAATTCTACTTAAGTTATTAAATAGAAAATTACACAATACTTACTCTTTAATTCGTATTTTTTATGATTATGGCTATAGAGTGTTACTCATACAATTACTATGGAGATGCATAGCGCAAAATGTGTTCCCCCTGCAAATTTTCCCATTGCCCACCCCCCATGGACTCGCTATGTGCCCCTATTTAGCATGGGGTCAGTATTTACGTCCCTTTATGGGTACATATGTATATATATTACTTTTCGGAAATATTTAACATAGGTGCATTAAAATATAAGATGAAATGTCTCAGCAATGGCGTTGTTGCTTTTTAAGAAATATTTATTTTTTAACTTCTTATTATAGAGGGCAGCCCAACCTCACCTCTTGACGCAAGGTGTTAGATTTTGGTTTTGTATTAGAGGTTTAAGAGGAGGGGAAGGTGGAATAGTTTAGTTCCTTAGAATTTGTTGACCGAGGTTGGTAAGGATGGAGTTTCGGGATCTAAATTATGTGATGAATATGTTATTTAATATTACTATCAGAGTACTTAGGAACTTGTATTTTTTACGTGATATAGAAATTAAGTCTGTATATTTTAGTAATTGTTTATTGGGTATAAGTAAATGTAACTTTTTTTCGCGCTGTAAATTTATTACACTAATAGGGTTATTCAATTTATTGTGTTAGGCCTACAACGTGTTTTATTTACATTTTTACTTAGGACGTTAGGTTTATTATTATAAAATTAATGACACCTAAAATACGCACAATCCATAAAAAGATTTCAGTGTATTGACACTGAGTATGACTGTGATTACTGACTGAGTATTGTACTTCATGATCAGAACCACAACTATGTTTTGTATAAACTTGTTTTTAAAATTAATGTGGTCTAAGCTTTGAGTTTGAGTTTTAATTTTCAGTTTTACTGTTTTAAGTTTATTTACAATAACAGTTCAAAATCAGATCTCAATAAAATTATCATTTATAAAGCAGTGGGATTGAATAAAAACTGAAGAGATGACTTTTAATTTTTATATTAATCATACTTGATCCATTTTAGTTTTAGCCTAAATCTCGTAATGGCCTGATACTGAAAATGTTTAAACATTTAGGCAGGTAATTGGAACCTTGTGGTCTAATAAAACTTGAAATGCCTCATCTATGCAATTATATTTTAGCATGTTCTGTCATGAAGTTGAAAAATTGCACATATTAAAAGTATAAAAATGTAACATGTATGATATATTGAAATGAAAGTCAGTGTGAAACTTAATGGCTATATTAGAGAGAATAATTATCAACTAAGAACAATGTCTTAGTATTTAAGCAGGCCAGTTAAATGCTGCTCATGTGACAGCTAAATACGTCAGCCAAGTAAAACATGATAGTGAATAACTTCAATCAATGATCCATTTCCCATATTTTGTAACAATCCACTGTTTTGAACTTTTTTATGTCCTTGGCATACTATTGGAATTGCAATTTTATGTTCGACAGTTGAGGGAGGTAAGGTCATTCATTCTGAAATTATTAACATCAGAGTATCAACTTAGTCTCTGATTTTCAACTTTTCTGATTATAACTGGTACTTTTGTCACCTCACGAGAACATTTGCTTGAAGAAAATGTTTTTAGTATATATCACAAAATTGACTCATTGTAATATGAGCTGAAATCTACAATCTATACTATTATTCTGCTTGTTTGTATGTACGACCGTTATGCTTTCTGATCGAGAACCTGCTGCATAAGCATATGTAGTTAGAATGTTTCCTCAAGAAAAACTGTGCATGTGCATTATTCACTTGACGAAAAACAGTCTGCTTGTGGCAGAGAGCTGCAAAGTTCAGTGATCAAGTCACTACAATTGCTGTATGAAACAAGAAGTTAACAACAAAGGGGGAATGTAAATATACTTTACTAACCATTTTGTACAACAGAATATTAAAAACTATTTAAAAAAGATTTGACGTTAGGACGTAGAATAACATAAGTTTATTTATCGATGGTATTAAGTACAGTAAAGTTTAGTACTAACTA